CCTCCCCTCCCCTCCCCCTCTCTGATAGTTGACCCATACTGCAGTGCTGCTCCCCTGCTGGGAGGGGATGGTGCTGCTGGTGGGGTAGGGTGGCAGGAGGTGTCCTCTGGACTTCCTGTGGGCAAACCCACAGTCCTTGCCCAGAAACCCTTTCTGAAGCCAGCGTCAGTAAGGAGCAGGGGTGCTGATGAGGCCTGAGCAGCTCCGCTGGGTTAGACTCACTGAAATCTCCCTCTCTCTGGCTGCTGTTGGCCTCCGTGCCTACAGGAGGTGGTGCTCTGGTGCTGAGCTGCAGGGGAGCAAACCAGCATGAACCAACGGCTGTGAGTCAAGGGCAGTTCAGCAGTGACTGGGAGACAAGCCTTCAAGAAACGCTGCCATGTTGGCTTGTGGTGGTGGCTGGAGGAGGAAAGCCCCAGAGAAGGCAAAGGTGGCAGGCAGTGCTCTGCATTGGTACTTTAACCCAGGACAGTTAATGGGAGGCGCAGGAGGAGCTCCCAGTTGAGTGGGAACTGCTGATGGTGATGGCAGGAGCACAGGGGAGATGGGGAAGGGGCAGCTCAGCTTGAGATGAGCCAGTTGCTGCTTCTGGCTTAATGTAGGAGACTGTTCCCAAGGCTGTAGTTTGACATGATGGGTGATGGTGCCTGTCCCATTCTGCTAGCCTTCTGACTGTCCATTGAAGTAGTGTATGGGGGGGTTTACTTTATTTTAAAGCAGCTGTAGATCCTTGAGCAGTTAGGTTTGGTTAATATACCCGTCTGGTAAAGGTGCAGTTCATGTAATAGTGGTTGAGTGCCCTGGAAATAATGGGACAAGAGTCCCAGCGCTAATGAAGCACAGAAACTGAAATTGTATCTGTCCTGGGGGGGGCATTCACTCACGGTACAGTAAAGCCCTTGTGCATGAAACTGTAATTTCTGCGTATCCAGTTTATGGAACTCTCAAAGTCCCTGGCACGGACAGGAGGACACGTCCCGTGACGCCCGCGTCCCTGTTTCTCCCGCTGTTCAGCAGCGGCCTCTGTTCCCCTTGCCAGTCCACCCGCCTTTACAAACAGCCGTGGACAGCCCACCTAAGCCTTTAACTCTGGTCTGGGATCTGACGGTCTGAGAAGTTGATCTGATGAAAAAAACTTCTCACATGGTCAAAAGGCATGCTTTTAAACACTGGTGAAATCAAATGCCTGTGTTCCAGCATACAAACTTTGCAGACCTGGTTTCAGGGAGCCTGTAATCCCACCTGCCCTCAAGCTGGGATGTTGGAGGACTCCATGGTTAACAAGCTTCTCCCCTTCTCCCTTCCTGCCTGGCTGGGCACACAGAGCCACCATGCCAAACTGGGGAGGCGGCAACAAGTGTGGTGCCTGCGGCCGCACGGTCTACCACGCCGAGGAGGTGCAGTGTGACGGGAGGAGCTTCCATCGGTGCTGCTTCCTCTGCAGTGAGTATGCCCCTCCCACTCCCCTGCACAGCCTCCCCTGGGGTAGCCGAGGGGGTCACAGCAGCGCGGTGCTGGTCCACGGGAGGTAGCCCAGGCTCAGCTGGCACCCATGACGCACAGAGGGTGGCAGCGGCCGGAGAGAGCGTTGTCCGTCATGTGTCGGTCTTGACTCCTGCTTCCCTGTGTGCCTTCTGGGCCTGGCCGTGCTCGAGGGAGAACTTGTGTCCCAGAGATTCTCCTTCCTGTCCAGCGTGGGGGGTGTGGGACGTGCTTCCCGAAAGCAGAGCGCATTGTGCTTTTCTCCTTCGTTTGCCCCCCTCCCCTGCCTTCTCCTAAGGAGTCTAAAGGGATCCTTAGGATGGAAACCTGGCCTAACATTGCTCATGCAGAGGAGAAAGCCCAGTGGGGGAGCCCCATTTGTAGTGATCTGGGCTCAGCGGGACCTCCACTGGTGGTCGGGGGGCCAGCAGCTGCCGGAGGAGGAGCTGTCACCCACCCCCCCACTCTCCTCCCCACCTCCCCGCGCGGGTCAGCGGCGTGCCCGAGTGCGGCTGACTCGTGGGCGCTGCAGCGCGGCCCAGAGCCCAGACTCTCTTGGCACGGGGGCCCGTGGTTTATTTCAGATGAAAGGAGTCCAAAGCATTATTTTCCAGTCCAACCAGCGAGCCCAGCGAGGCATTGAAAATCGCTTTCTCTGCTGAAAAGGCCTCTGCTTAGCTGCAGGGAACAAAGGGTGGCTGTGAAGCTGCCAACAGACAGCTTGCCTGTCCGAATCGGAGAATTTTGCCTTATTACACACGTGAGGCAGAGTTTTGTCCCTCAGGCTGACGTTTGATACCTACAGGCAGAGGTGGGGTCTAGCTCTCTTGGTCTAAGTTACAACTGCCCCCCTCACACTTGTTAGTTTGCTGTTGGTCTGCAGCATAATGTTGTTGGGCTGTGCTGGCACTTGAGCCTCGGCACACCTACGCTCTCCTTCAGCTCTACAGCAGTCACAAAAAAAGATTAGATGTCTCGGCTGCCTCATTTTCAGCCTTTTATGGGAGTTGCTATTAAAAGAAACCTGGAACTTGGAGTCAAACAATGGCTCTAGTGTGTCTTGAGTATTTGCTTTTCCTCAGTTCATAGTTCTGTTGGGGTTAAAGTCTGTAAACTTAATAAACATGCATTAGTTGTTTTACTTATTGGATATTTGTGTCTTCTGAAAAGAACCTTGGAGCTAATGAATGCCATAAGCAAAGGTTACCCTGTATTTTGAAGACCTTAACGTTCTTTTTAAACAAAAAATTCATAAGGTTGGGTTTTGGTTTGTTTTTCTGTTTTTTTTTTCCCCCAAAATTCTTTATCATGGGCATAATGCTGTTGGAAATGGCCAGTCAGGATACAAAAGAAGGTTTAAGAAGGAAATAGTTTTGCCTTCTACAGTAACCTTGAGCAGAGTGCTTGCATTGTGCTGAAGGACAATGTAGGAATGCCAGAAAATCGGGGCCCCTCTGGTGACAGCTGTGAAACAGCCCCAGCCCACTACTGAGGCAGGGGAAACCTTGCAGGCTTTTTTTTCCTTTTCCCAGCTCCACCCTGGCCAAAAGGGCAGGACAGAGGCTCTAAGCTCTTCTGCACTGAGGGAGTTTTGCTTCATGCTGTATGTCATCTGTCAAGGGAAACTGCTGACTGCACTATCTGAGTTTCTGAGCAGCCTCATTCATCAAACCGCAGCAAATTTCCAGGCTTTAAATGTCACGGTCATGAAGAGGTGGGAGGGAATAGAGCCCTTTACAGGACTAAGCATAACTCACTAATCCAAATGACAACCTGCTCCTTCTAATCTCTGGTGGTCCCAGAGCCTAACAGGAAGAATTGTGGACAAGGAAACTCGTACCATCACTTCTCACTTGATTTTTGCCTTACTACATGTGCTGATGGAAATGGTCCCATAAGACAGTTCAACAATTTTAGGGTTTTTTTTCCCCCTCCAGTGGTCTGCCGGAAGAACTTGGACAGCACAACTGTAGCTATTCACGATGCAGAAGTTTACTGCAAGTCTTGCTATGGAAAAAAGTACGGCCCCAAAGGTTACGGATACGGCCAAGGGGCAGGGACGCTGAACATGGACAGGGGAGAGAGGCTGGGCATCAAGCCTGAGAGGTGGGTGATCCGGGTGGGGCGGGGTGGGACCCGTGTCCTTCAGGACCGTTTTCAGAGGAGCCTGTCGGGCTGGGTGTTGTTCGGTTCGTGTTGCCCGGCATTAAGGCGCTGCAGAGTGCCCCAGTGCAGCCGAGTGCGGGGCGTTCGACCCGCGGGCACGAGGCGTCCAGCGGTGCCCGTCAGCAGGCGCCGTGCCAGCAGGAGCTGGTGCTGGGACAGGCCACGAGCCCTGCGCGTGAGGCGCAGGGGAGGGGTCACGGAGCTGCTGGTGGCTCCGCGTGAGCCTCCAGGCCTGACTCGGGGTCTCGGGTCGCTCTCCTAAATAAGCTGAAAAAATCAGCAGGTCCTGGCGGGGGTGGATTTGCAGAGCTGAGACTCTGAGGCAACAAGAAGAGTGAATTTTTAACTGGGAAGTGGAGAACCATTTGTGCTTAGTTATAGCCAAAACCAAAAGGCCTATTAAACATTCCTAGTCTGGTTCTTGCTGTAAAGCGAAGCATGTGGGAAGAAGCTGAGGTATGCTTCACAGCTTGCTTCATGCAAGTTCCCAAGTTACTGCTTGACATTTATATGATCTTCATCATCAGGTTCAGTGATCAGTCCAGATTCCAGATTATGATGAGTAGACAGGAATTTAAGAGAATTATTTGTAGTTTACCGTCTGATAAGTCCATGTCCTAACACAGAATTCAGCACTTACTGGAGAAGTGAAAAGGTGAAGGCTTCTCAGAAAACTAGTTTTTACAGCAGCTTCCTTTTATCCTTTGAAGTATGGTCTTTCTCTTCTTGTTTGTTACTTGGGGTTTTTTTACCTACCAAGTGTAACTGGATTGCTGGTAGCTTCACCAGTGTGGCAGGAGTACTGTGTTGGATGCTGCTCTGTTAGTGGTGTTAAGAAGAGCAAGAGGTCATTTAGTAAAAGAGCGAAGAGTAAAACAAATGTCCTGTTTCTTTCAGCACATCCTCTCCCCACCGACCCACCACAAGTCCAAACACTTCCAAGTTTGCTCAGAAGTTTGGAGGGGCAGAGAAATGCTCTAGGTGTGGAGATTCTGTTTATGCGGCAGAGAAAGTCATAGGAGCTGGGAAGGTAAGGATCTGCACGTGGACTGTGAAGTGAGCAAGGTGTGTTATGTGGCTTCCAGCAGGAAACCAGCCGCGGGGTGAAGTTACCTTAAAATTGCATTTCTTAGCTTTGGAAAAAGTCAAACTGGTCAACTCCAACGGAACAAAAAGCAGGTGAAATGCAGAGTGAGGAGCACCAGGCTCGGATTTCAGAGGTGAAGCTTCAGCATTGTCCGTGCCAGGGACTTGAAGCAGACAACAGGATTGCTCTCCTCTCAGAAGAGGGAACAGTCTTGTGGTGTGCAGCTTATGAAGGAGGCTGAATGTTTTGGCAGAAGGGGGATGTTGTCGGAAAATACTGTATCAAAGTGTGTGTTAGGCTGCCAGCTGTCTGACTCGCTACGGAGAGCCGAGATCTGATTGATGAGAGCAAGCCCAAACCTTTCAAACTGCTGCCCTGAGCAGGATGCTGTGTGGAATTTGGGGCTTTGGCCCACTCGCAGAAATGCAGGCACTCTCATCTGCTGCTGAGGTGCTTGAACTAGTTTTTAGCACCAATTGTTTACAAATAGTACTAATGCAGGCATCTCCAGTTAATGTTTTTTTTTTTTTAATCAACTCAACCATTCAGTGTATTTAAACTATCTTGTGTTTTTTCTTTTTTTTTTTTTTTGTTCTTTTTTTGTTCTTTTGTTTTGTTTTGGTTTTTTTTTCCCCTAGCCATGGCACAAAAACTGCTTCCGATGTGCCAAGTGTGGAAAAAGCCTAGAATCTACAACCCTAACTGAAAAAGAGGGAGAAATCTATTGTAAAGGTGAGGAAAGAAAGAAAGATCACTTGTTTGTGGTTCAAGGTAATGTGCCACAAGGGCAGATGCTGAATTTATTCCTGGTATAAGGTGTTACTGGAGCTGCTGATGTTGCTCACATCTGCATCAAGCAAAACGTCACACACAGAAATGCAGCAGCAGCAGCAGCCCGTG